TCCATCTCTCCCAGCCCTCCAGGGACGGGCACTCAGCTGAGCTCTGTAAATGGCTGTGGGATAAGTGAAGTAATGAGTGGCCGGGAAGGCCTATCTGAGTCCGTGTAAATGGGGACAACAGCGGGATGGCGGTGTTCTAGAAGGGAGCTGGGGGGGGGCATGCTCTGGTAAACCTGGTAGCCTAACCAGCTTCCTCGCTCTGCCTTACCACCTCCTGGGCTCTCCTGACAGGCTCCGGGGCCGTGGGCTGGGGGACCTCCCCTCATATCCGTTGTGCCAGCCTCCTGCTAATACCCAAAATGCTGGGCAAAGAGGGCAGGCTCTTTGCGTTGGGCTACGCCTTGGCGGCCATCTATGAGGGTGAGTGTGCCCCTGGGTACCAGTTAGTGCTGCTGATGCAGTGACCTGGGTGGGACACCCATGGGAGCCAGGCCTGGCGGAGGAGAAAGGGTGGGAACCGAATCCCAGCTGCGGCAATGTGCCGCGTGTCCCTGAGAGCGTTCCTCCCATCTCGGGGCTCCTTGGCTGACACAGGTGAAAAAGCCAGGGGCCGAGTGAGAGGGCCTCTCAGGGCTGGGGGGCCCCGTCAGATTCAGTCCTGGAAGGTGGTCACTGCATGCAGTGAGGGAGCGAGGGGTGGGCTTAAGAAAGTTACTTAGCTCCGGAGCAGCGGTTCTCCACCTTCTGGCCCTTTCAATACAGTTCCTCATGTGGTGACCCAACCATAACATTATTTTCGTTGCTACTTCATAACTGTCATGTTGCTACTGTGATGAATCGTCATGTCAATATCTGATATGCAGGATGGTCTTAGGCGACCCCTGTGAAAGGGCCGTTCGACCGCCGAAGGGGTCGAGACCCACAGGTTGAGAACCGCTGCTGGAGGGAGTGACTCAGCAGGGCTTCTTCCCCCAGGACCGGTGGCCAACCTGCGATACAACCTCAACGAGGTGGTAGCCTCGCTGGGCTGCACCGTGGAGCTGCAGATCAACAACACCCGCGCGGCCTGGCGCGTGTCCACTGCCCCGCTGCGTGCGGTGTTCAAGGACCTGCTGGTCAGGACCCTTCAGGGGCAGGGCCGAGGGGCCCCTATTTCCAGGGGCCTAGGTGACTTGAGCTGGGAGCGGTGACCCTGGATTTGCACTTTCCCCATGGGGGTGCTGCTGGCATTGTTTTTTCCAGGACTGTCCCCAAACATTGCAGGATGTGCCCTGGTCCCTGGGCACGAAATGCCAGGAGAGCCCCCGCCCCCATCATGGGGACATGCCTTGCCCCCCACACATTTCCAAACGCCGAAGTGGGAGGTTGGTTGGGCAGCTGAACTAGAATGTCAGGGCGTTGGGGGCCTTGGCCGTGAGGATTTGGAAGCTTTGAAGACCAGGGGATAGAGCATTGGGTTTTGGAGACTGGGGTTTGCGGGGATTGGAGCGTTGAGCTGGGGAGATAGGGGTTGAGGGGCCTGGGAGTTGGGACATTGAGACAGCATAGGGCTGAGAGATGGGTGGTGTGGGGTGAAGTCCAAGGACCTGGGATGGGAGGCCTGAGGAGGAGCTGGGAGCCTGGGAGGTGAGCAAGGCAGAGGCATCTGGGGAGAGGAGAGGGCTCCGGGGACTGTAACCAGTGGAGAAGTTAGTTTTGAGGACTGGGGTTTGCGGGGATTGGAGCGTTGAGCTGTGGAGATAGGGGTTGAGGGGCCTGGGAGTTGGGACATTGAGACAGCATAGGGCTGAGAGATGGGTGATGTGGGGTGAAGTCCAAGGACCTGGGATGGGAGGCCTGAGGAGGAGCTGGGAGCCTGGGAGGTGAGCAAGGCAGAGGCATCTGGGGAGAGGAGAGGGCTCGGGGGACTGTAACCAGTGGAGAAGTTAAGGTGTGAATCTACCTCGGGGCCTAGGCTCCCACAGGCCTGCGGTAAGAGCCCAAAGCTTGGCTAATGGGGGAAGGAGAGGCTCTTGGGCAGCAGAAGCTCTAAGCCCCTGTCTCTGACCCTTTCCAACCCTCGTACCCCCAGGGCAGCAAAAAGTCACTGAGAGCTGAGACTCAAAACATCTCCAACTCCTTCGGGGACCTGGACGCGCAGGTGAACAGTGAGACTGGCTACACACCCGAGGATGCCACGGACTTGGAAGAGACAGTCCCAGGGGGGAGGCCCCGCCGAGCCATGGCCTTCGGACCCCACCTCTCCACACAGAAGATGTACGAGCTGAAGACCAAGCTTCGTTGCTCCTGTGAGGGGTGTCCCCAGGTGGGGCAGGCCATGGGGCCGGGGCTCCAGGTCAGGGTGTGGGGGTCTCAGACAGCCCTGGCCCCTGCCCACAGATGTGGTGAACAAGGCCATACTCAGCTGCCGCCGCTGGTTTGACAAAAAGCACGAACAGTGCATGCAACGCATCCGGGTCCCGCTCCTCAACCACCTGCTCTGCCTGCCCATGAAGTTCAAGTTCTTCTGTGGCATTGCCAAGGGTCAGCACAGGGGCAGGAGGGTGGGGAGTACCAGGCTAGGGGGCTGAGTCCTTGGGGTGTGTTGGGTAGGTGTGGGGCAGGAAGCAGTGAGGCGGGAGGCTTTAGGCTCTGAGGACACAGCCCCCTCAGAGCAGCCCTTCCACTCCCCAGGGTAAGTTACAGCCACGCTCTGCGCTGTCTTTTCAGCTGAAAGATGGGCATCATAATAGTGCTTATCCCGTCCAGGGTTTTTGAGGGCTTAAGGCAGTGGTTCTCAACCTTCTGGCCCTTTAAATACAGTTCCTCATGTTGTGACCCGACCATAAAATTATTTTTGTTGCGACTTCATAACTGTAATGTTGCTACTGTGGTGAATCGTCATGTCAATATCTGATATGCAGGATGGTCTTAGGCGACCCCTGTGAAAGGGCCGTTCGACCGCCAAAGGGGTCGCGACCCACAGGTTGAGAACCGCTGGTTTAAGGCGATAACACTTGTGAAGAAGGTAACAGAGCTGCGAACGGAGCAGTTGCTCTATGAATATGGACTAACTTTGTTAATAGTTGGTCTGGTTATAGACGGGGAAAAAGGGGGGGGCATCAGACCTTGCTCCTGGGAAAAAGAATTCAAGGAGAGCAGAGAGGAAATAGACCCCAGGTGGGAGGAAGCCGTGGGCAGGGAGGCAGAAAGCAGGGTGGAGCGGATCACCGGAAGGGAAGCCTGGAGGCTGGGCACGGAGGCAGCCCCTGACCTGGCCCCGCCGCCCCCAGCCATGGAAATTTGGTGCCGCAGTCGCATCCCAGTGGAAGGCAACTTCGGGCAGACGTACGACTCTGTCAACCAGTCCATTCATGGGCTGGGCGGGGACTTTTCAGCCACGATTAACCTCAAGGTAGGAGGCAGGGGCATGACCTGAGGTAGGGCAAGTGCAGGCAGGGTCGGGGGCATAGGAAAGAGGTCACGGGGCGTGGGGAGGGGGCAGGAGGGGAACAGCATTGGTGCTGGGTGATAGGAGAGAAACAGGCTGAGCCTGTGCTGCGCATGGACCCGACGTTGGGATGGACGGTCAACCAGGTGTGAGACGTGTCCGCTCACGTAGACGCAGGGGAGCAAGCCTATGTCCAGGAGGGTGTTGGGCAGAAGGCAGCAGCAGCTCCCACAGGTCCCGCGACAAGCCAGCGGACACGACATGCGTGGGGCGCCGGGGAGAGATGCCACGGAGAGGCTGGGCCTGGCAAACGGAGGAGTGGCTCCATGGATATCGACTAACTTCATTAATAGTGGGGACGGGTAGAGGCAGGTGAAAAGTGGGGGGCCATCAGGCCTTGTTCCTGGGAAAGAGAATTCCAGGAGAGCAGAGAGGAAAGAGACTCCAGGTGGCGGGAAGCCTGGAGGGCCTGCCCTGTGCCTCGCGCAGGAGGAGAAGCAGGCGGGGCTGCTGGGCCTCAACACCAGCTGGGAGCACGTGAGCACCGAGGTGCGGGACTACGTGAGGCGCCAGGAGGCCCAGCTGGAGTGGGCCCTGGGGCTGCTGCACCTGCTGCTCTCCTGCACCTTCCTGATCGTCCTCCACGCGTGAGCCCGGCCCCCCCCCTCCCTGCTCCTGACACCCCTTCCTTGGCTCTGGAGGGGAGCCTTCCCCGGGACGGGGGAGGGGGGGGGAGAACGGACCATCAGGCCCACCTCCGACTCTGAATGTGCATGTCCTTGTGCCCTTAGCTCTGCGGTTCCTAGAGTGGGTGAGTTGTTTACACAGAGTTAAAGGGGACGTGGGCGTTTTGTCAGAAGGAACATCGCCCGTGTTCCTGCCGCCCCAGAAGGGCGCCCGTCTCCATCTCTCCGGCTCCTTCCAGCCTCTATCCCGATGCTGACGTTTTTACTTTTCGCTTTGACTTCTGATTTTTTTTCTTGCCCTTCACATTCCCCTTGGCTCTGACTTTGTGCCATTTTTATCGTCCAGTTCTGCTTTCATTTTCTCCCGCCTGCTGTGTTGGCAGCTACTTTCCCTCCATTTGGACCAAAGTCCTCAACCCCACCCAGCCTGGCGTCCAGCCGGGCCGCCCTGGGCCTTGCTCTCCGTCCCCTACTGACCTCTGGACCCTCTGTTTCCTGTCTCCACCCCCAAAGGCTGGAGATGGGCAGGGGCTGGGCAGGGACAGCCACAGGGGCTCCTGCTCAGTCTGCCCTTGTTTGTAGAGCCCAGAGTGACTCCAGTGAGTGGTTCTGTGTGTGCCTGTGAGAGGACAAGGATGAATGAGCCACAGTCCCACCCTCAAGAAGCTCATGGCGGAGGGCAGACAAGAGGCATCCGAGAGACAGAGACGATTGAGGGCTGTGGGACGGGCGTGGGAGCCGAGGAGGTGCCCCTGCAAGAGCTATAAATGGGCTTTAAAAGGCAGCCGATGGGGAGCCATGGTCAAGGAGAGAGAGGGTGTCTCTTGGGCAAGGATCCTGGCATCTGTGGGATGTGGAGGGCAGAGGACTTGCCTGAAGTGGGCTTGGCCAGACAGTCTGGAAAGCCCTGGGGGCGGTTGCAGGATGGACGGGGACAGACTGAAGGCCGGAGTCCAAGGTGGGTCAGAGGTCAGGGAGCCTGGCCGGACTGGGGCGTGGCAGGAAGTCGGCCTGAGAAGGCCCTAAAAGGGAAAGGTGTCCAGGCCTCAGAGCTTGGGGAGGGGAGGGGAGGGGAGGAAGGAGGCAGAGAGTCAAAAGGCACTTCCAGGCTTTCAACCTGGGTGAGGTCACTCCCTGCAGGAGCAGCGTTGGGCACAGGGCGGGGCACAGGGCGGGGCCCAGGCTCCGGAGGCCTCTGCAGAGTAGCGAGAGGTTCCTCCACAAGGGGGCGCTCACCATCTTTCTTTGCATTTACAGTCAGTTCTACTTGAAAGGGAAAGATGGATGGATTATGACAAGGTCCCCGGACCAATAGCATTGGCAGTTATGTTTCACGGCGTACAGAGATTATTTACTGTCATTTTATAGTTTCGAACACATGTTATTTTTTCAAAAGTATTTTTATTGATTTCAGAGAGGAAGGGAGAGGGAGGGAGAGATAGAAACATCAATGATGAGAGAGAATCATTGATCGGCTGCCTCCTGCAGGCCCCCTACTGGGGATGGAACCCAGGCATGTGCCCTTGACTGAAATCGAACCCGGTACCCTACAGTCTGCAGGCTGATGCTCTATCCCAGGGGTCCTCAAACTACGGCCCGCGGGCCACATGCAAATACAAATATTGTATTTGTTCCCGTTTTGTTTTTTTACTTCAAAATAAGATATGTGCAGTGTGCATAGGAATTTGTTCATAGGTTGTTTTTTTAAACTATAGTCCGGCCCTCCAATGGTCTGAGGGACAGTGAACTGGCCCCCTGTTTAAAAAGCTTGAGGACCCCTGCTCTATCCACTGAGCCAAACCGGCTGGGGCTCAAACACATTTTCAACAATTAACATTTTTTTCCTTAGAAATGGAAGCTTTATGTGGGGCCATGGGAGACACACAGAGGAGAGTTACACATGCACACACACACCTACCCCCCCAACACACACACACACACACACACACACACACACACACAGAAACCACGGCTGAACCCAGGGATGTGTCAGAGGGGAAGGAACCTCCAGGAGATGTTTTTCAGGCTCAGCCGAGAGGCGAGGACTCGGCGGTGACGGTGGGAGTCATAATGGGTCAGGTGGCTCCTGAAACCTTGCGGGGTCCCCCCCCACCCCCCACCCCCCGCTCTGTGCCTTTGCTCTTGCTGTTCCTCTGCTTGATATTCATCCTGCGAGATCCACGCCTGGGACATCTCCCTCCTCCCGTGACACAGGGCACACAGCTCCTCCCACCCCCACCCCCTCCCCATCGCTGGTGCGGGTGCCTTTCACTGCTCCTGACTGAGGCAGGGCAGAGGCTTCTCCTGGGAAGCAGACGGTGCTCAGTGGCCGGCTGGTGCAGTGGCTGTGCCTTAGGAAGCCCAGGGCTGGAGAGAGAGGGAGACGTCCTCATTCGCAGGTCCTTCTCCTACTTGGACAGCTATAACGGGGACATTCGCTTTGACAACATCTACATCAGCACCTACTTCTGCCAGATCGACGAACGCAGGAAGAAGCTGGTGAGTGGGCCCAGCCTTGCCCGAGGGTGCGGGTGCGCCGCTAGCTGCCCTGTGGCTTCGCGCTCCGGGAGGGCAAGGGGATGGGGGGGGGAGACTGTCCTTGGTGTTCCTCACTGTGTGGACACCTTTTTCCAGGGCAAACCGACTCTGCTGCCGCTCCGCAAAGCTGAGAAGAAGACGGTCATCTTCCCCTACGACCCCACCATCCAGGCCTCAGAAATGAGAAATGTGGTGAGGGTGGCAGGGGGCCTCTAGAGGCACAGATCTGAGAGTGGAGGGCAAAGGCATCCAGAGGGCGCCATGCCGGGCGGGTGGGTGCCCGCTCCACCCCTCCTGCTCTTGGGCAGGTCCGGGAGCTGCTGGAGACACTGCCGGTTCTGCTGCTGCTCCTGGTGCTGTGTGGGCTGGACTGGGCTCTCTACTCCATCTTCGACACCATCCGCCGCCACTCCTTCCTGCAGTACTCCTTCCGCAGTGAGCGCGCCCGAGACCCCGCCCTGTGCAGCCACACACCCCGAGTCTTCCCATTTTGTCTCTGCCTCTGGGTCTCAGCCCCTTTCTGTCCTGAGGGTCAAATCTGAGCCCCGCAACCTGACAGCTGTTCCTGGGGCCCTTGGTTTCCTGCCCCTTTACATCCACAAGAGAAAGGGCTTGGCACTCAGTGAAGGGGTGGACTGTGCACCTGAGAAGTGTTTCTGAGCTTGGGCCTCTCCTCATCCCCTTAACTCCGACTCCTCACCTAACCCCTACATCATCCCCCACCCCACCGCCCGGATCTTGGCCTCAGGCAGTCATAAACTGGAGGTGAAAGTTGGGGGGGACTCCCTGATTGCCCGGCTTCTTCGGAAAACCATCGGGGCCCTGAACACCTCCTCGGAGACGGTGGTGGAATCAAACAACATGCGTGAGTGATGCTGAGGTTTCGGAGCAGAGGAGTGGAGGGCTGAGGGGCGAGGGGCTTTCCAAGGCCCAGAGTGGGGACCAGGACTTGGTGGGGAGATGGGGTCAGAGGAGACTGTTTGGGTTGGGGAACCAGAGCAGGAAATACCAGGTCCGACTTGAAGAGTTGGAGGATGACAGACTTGGGTCAGAGGAGCCTGGGGGCTGGGCCTTAGGGCCAGAGGGTCCCGTCCTCTGGAGGGCATTGTCCCACAGAACTCCTTGCCCCATGGAAATGGTCTACATCTGCGCTGTGTTGAGCACATAGCCACCTGGGCCCTTGATGGCCCAGCTCTTCAGGGGGCAGGGGAAGCAGGAGTCCAGCAAGGTTTCAGACCTAACCCGAGCCCTCACTGGGGTGGGAATTCAGCCAGGGCTGCCCTGTCCCTCAAGGGCCAGTCCCTTGACAGGCCTCCCCGCCCTCAGCCTGTCTGCCTCAGCCTGTGCGCCTGAGCGCAGGAGCCTATGCGAGGACTGGACTCCCCACCGGCCTGCTAGTGTGTCTCTGTCTGCTCCAGGCTTTCGGCTACCGGCTCCGGAGGGTCATCGCAGCCTTCTACTTCCCCAAGGTGCACCCTGGCCTCTCCCCTGACCTCCCCACCCCTCCGGGCAGCGCTCACACACACACACACACACACACACACACCAACCGCTGGCAGCTCCCGCGGCGCTGGTACTGACCCTCTTCTCCTGGCCCAGCGAGAGAAGAAGCGGATCCTGTTCTTCTACAATGAGCTCCTGAGGAAAAGAGCGGCCTTCACCAAACTGAGGAGGGCGGCCATCGTGAGGCAGGCGCGAGAGCAGAGAGCCCGAGTAAGTCAGGCCAGGCCTGCGCGCTGTGGCTCCCGGCTGGGCCTGAGAACCCCGAAGGAAGGGCTTCTCCCTTCAGTCCACCCAGCCCCCACCAGGCCCCAGGCTTCTGGGAGCTCAGTGAGTTCAGACATGATTCGTGCCAAGGGGCCTGGTCATATGCTCCTGGACATCAGGGCCGTGTCCATCTCTGAGCCCCAGACGTCAGCCCAGCCTGAGCTACTCAGAGGACCAGCAGGAAGCAGGCGGAAAGGGGGAATAAGATGTGATATAGGCTGATCGAAGGAAAGCAAGAGGGGTTCATCAGAAACCAGGGACCACGGCAAAGCCACGGGGCCTACTGAGAGGCCTGCAGACCAGAAGCTCGGGGCAATCCATAGAAGGCGGGGAGGCAGGGGCTGGGGGCCAGGAAGGCCTCATGAAGGGAGCGTGGTATTTGGAAAGTGCATTGAGTCAGAAGAACCAGGCTCCAGTCCACACTCCCTCATGAAGCTGTGTCACTCTGGCCATAGTCCTCACTGGACCTGGGTCTCCCTCTGAAGAACGGGGTGTAGGGCGGGGGACAGATCTGCAGGCCTGCTCCCTAGAGACTAGTAACAGAGTGATGGTCAGGTGTAGGGCTCCGGTGCCAGAGGACCTGGGTTTAAATCCTGGCCCCTGTCCTTATTACTATGACAACTATATGATGTTGAGCACTTCCTTAAATGCTGTGCCTTGGTTTTCTGTAAAGTGGAGTTACTGACTCCATTTGGGTGTGGTAAGGATTAAGTGAGTTTTGCTGTCGTGGTGCAAGCACATAGAAAGTTCTGAACACGTGTTAGTTGTCATCGGGTGACTCTAGGCAAGTGACCACCTCTCCAACCATCAGTTTTCTCACCTGGAAAAGAGATGATGAGGATGAAAACAATACCTGCCTTACATGGTTATTGTTTGAATTGAGCTAATTTACTTACAGTTTCTTAGTACAGGGCCCAACATTATTCAAAAACAACAGCAGCAACAGCAAGTGGTACTTGTTCTTATTCAATCAGCCCCCAAGCAAACTCATCAAAGTGAGAATGTCTGTTTAACTTTTTCCTCCTGTGCCCAGATCCCCTACCCCCATGAAACGCAACATGGACTGATACAAAAACAAAAACCCAGCAGCAACATACTGTGATCCCATGACCCGGTCCTGAGTAAAGTGGATTTTGATGGGCAGATAGAAATGTGAAGGGCATTCATTCCAAGCGGAGGGAACAGAATGTGCAAAGACTAAGAATCCAAACAGAGGGCGTGCCGAGTGCCAGGGCTAGTCTAAGGAGGCAGGTACAGCTCAGGAAGGGGTACGCTGGGGCAGAGGCTGGAAAGGGACCAGATTGGGGGAGGCTAGGAAAGCCACCCCCAGGAGCCCTGCCTATGGCAGGCAGTGCAGCTCCTGGGGTTTTGGGAGCCGGAGTGATCTGATCAGGTGGCCGGTGGGGAGAGGGTGGGAGAGAGGGGGCGCATCATGCACCAGGCTTGTGATTTCCATCAGGGCACCTGGGTGCAGCCAGGTTTGATTGTTTACGATCTGTGTGCCTTTGGGAAAGTCACTTCACCTTTGTGAGATTCATCTTCCTCATTTGCAAATTGGGGAACACAACAGTGATAGTCTTATCTGTCCTCCTCACTTCGCAGCCCCACCCTGCGAACCAAATAAGATGACTGATGGGAAAATGAAAATGATGGTTATTGCTGTTGTCCACGCTGCATCCTCCCACTCTCTATTTTTTTAAATATATTTTTATTGATTTCAGAGAGGAAGGGAGGGGGAGAGAGAGATAGAAACATCAATGATGAGCATCATTGATCTGCTGCCTCCTGCAGGCCCCCTACTGGGGATGGAACCCAGGCATGTGCCCTTGATCGGGAATCCAACCGTGACCACCTGGTTCATTGGTCAACGCTCAAGCACTGAGTCCCACCAGCCGGACCCTCGCACTCTCCATCACGGAGTGCGGGAGGGCAGCTCTCTAGGACCCGCCTCCATAGCACCCTTGCCCTCCGGGGGTCGTCTTTGCCCAATCCAGTTTCCTCCAGCTCGTGGGCACTGTCATGCCTCGAGACCTCCGACGAGAAGCGCTGGCCGGTTCCCCTCCGCCCTTTCTCCACCTCGCGCCCTCTCTAGCTCTCCACCCTCCTCGCTTCCCAACAGCGCCACGACCTGGCGGACATCCTGCACCGCCGCTGCCCCTTCCTGCGCCCCTGGCTGCGCCGGCGCTGTGTGGTGTGCCAGGCACCGGAGACGCCCGAGTCCTACGTGTGCCCGACTCCGGACTGCAAGGCTGTGTACTGCCGGTCGTGCTGGGACGACATGCGGCAGCGCTGCCCGGGCTGCACACCCCGGGAGGAGCTCTCCTCCTCCGCCTACAGCGACAGCAACGATGACGCTACCTATGCGGAGTGAAGGGGCGTCCTGCGCGCTCCCACGTCGCCCCTTCCTAATTAATAAAATGCCGTGCACACTCCCGCCGCCCGCGC